CCGCCCCCCACCCGGCCCCGCCGCCGCGCTGACCTTTCACCCCGCCCCCTCTGCGCGCCGGCGCGTCCGCCGCCTCGTGCGCAGGCGCACTGCTCACAGCCGCACTGCTCGCACCCTTCCCCCACCTCGCAGGGACCTCCATCTTTCTACTGGGTTGGGCCTTCTGCGTCACGTTCCTCCTCCCACCTTTACGGCAGTACTTGTGGGGCTGGCTCAGTAGGCCCTGGCGGTAAAATCCGGATTTTTCCACTCCTCTTTCACCTCGGCCCACATAAGCAAGGTTGATCTTTCCCGACCCTGTCTTTTCCAGTTGCCAAGGCTCCAGAGTGACCTTCAGACGCTTTTGTCTCTTAATAAGGTTTCCATAAAACTGATTCCTTGAAATGCAAACAAGTCTGGAAAAACTCAAGCAAATGAGGTGTTTTAGGAACAAACGTGATTAACAATTGGCCAGATAACTTGGCTACCCTCCAGGACGCCTTGAGTTTTGAAATCACGTGACCGGCCCAAAAGCTTTGGACAGCCTGGAACTTTACCCGCGGGCCCCAGAGGGTCGGAACTCCATCGCCACTTCCGGTCCCCAGAGCGTGGCGTGAACGTCACTTCCTTAGCGATGCACCTTAACCCTTGCTGTGCACGCTTTCTCATTGCACTTCACACCACAATGTATGTGAAAATATATGTTTGTTTTCTTTTTCTTTACTTGGAAGAAAATTACTATTCCAGAGATCTGCTAAAACAAATCCCAGGGATCTAGTGCGCCGGGATGGGGGAGGCAGGGCGGAGCTCGAGATCACGTGACGGATTTGGCCCGCCCCCTCCCTCTGCAGCTGAAGACTTCCCCTCCCCAGTGACAGAGCCTCTGGGTCTGTGGTCGGTACTGTTTGTGCACCTCGCGCCCCAGCAGGTGAGCGACTACGGGTAACCGGCAGCTGGTGGGATATGAAAAGGAATGGGAGGAGGAGGTAGAGAAGGAGAAGTGTAAAGGGAGGCCTTCGCTGCTGGGGGTTTCCTCTGCTGTCATCTTGCCCTAGCGAGGAGCTCACTCTCCCTGGCTTTTAGCCCCCGATTCCCCACAGTGGTCGCCCCCGTTTTCTAGGGGTTAAGATACCCACTTTTCCCCGTTGAAGTGAGTGCAGCCATTATGGTTCCCCTATTCGGAGCCTGTGGGCTTCAGGTACTGTTGCTTCATCCATTCCTCCGGGTCTGCAGTAGTCGTTAGGTCCCATTCCTCCAAAGCCCATTCTTTGGCGAAGGTCCTCACGGTCTCAGCCCGAGGCCGGGGAGCAGGGAGATAGGAAAAGCCCTGGAGGAGAGGTGTCTCCGGTGAGACTAGCTTGAGAGGGAATGTCACTGATAGGGCCCTCACTGCAGAGTCACTAAAAAGCTTTTTTCCTGATTGTGCTATCTCTGTAATTCTAAAAGGTTTTATCTGAGGACCCTGCCGGAGAGGTTCTATGGGTGTTCGCATGCTTCGGGTGGGATTGGTAAAGTGGCTTTTTACCTTTTTCTTGGAGGGAAAGGACAGTTGAAGGAATAAAAGGTTTACTGTCTTGAGAACGGGGTATTGGTAATGCGACAGTCTCGATTGAATGGAGAGGCGTGTAAAGATGGTGTTGCGGTGTCGTGGTCAGCGAGAGGGCCAGGCTAGTTTATGGAAGTGATTCGATTTCCCTGAAAGGGAAGTTCTTCAGAAACTGATCGGACTGAAAATATAATTAAGCCAAATATATTAAGTCTAGATATTACTGACTTTATATTTTCTGCCTTTGACAGCTTTCTGTTTTTGCCATTCCTCCCTAAAATCTTAAAATGGACACTCCTGATCAGTTCTTTGAACCAGCTTTGTGGTCATCTTGTATCCCTCTTTAGCTTTCCTCATTTGTAAAACTGGAGGTGACCTCTTCAGATTTTGATGAATAGTATTTTGTGAAAATACAGAAACTGTTTTGCCTAGTTTTGGCCCAACCTAGTTAGTGTACTCCCTTTTCATACATACTATAGTAGCCAATGTTGATCCAAAACATTGTGTTTTAGGGAGGAGTGTTTTTTAGTTTGAGGTTAAACTCTTTTATTTGTACTACAAACTCAAGGCATTTCTTGTTTCTTTTAAATGGAAAGACCTTACAAAATCACAATTTTTTTTTAAGTCTAAATATAGTTTTTCTTAAATGAAATATTATTCTGTTATGGTATGCTACAGTATTTGAATAGTCCATTAAAAGACAGCTGAAAAATGACGATAGAATCACTGTGTGGTGGATGTGGTTCACTTCTATTTTTTTTTAAAGAATTATTTATTTATCTTTATTTGTTTATTTTAATTTGACCAGAGAGGGACAGAGTGAGTGGAGAGAGAGAGAGGGAAAGTGAGAAAGCAAGCTGCCAGGTCCAGGACTCGAACTGTGGTCAGCCATGTGGGAGTCCAGTGCTCTTAACCACCATGCCACCTGCCAGCCCTGACTTCTATGTTTTTTCAGTGTCTTCCTGGTTCTCAACCATGGTTAACTAGTCTTATTTTGGTAACAAAAACAAACAGTTAAAATTCAAAAATATAGCAGTTTTATAAAATTTTGCTTCTAGTAAGTCAAAATAGAAAAATAAGCCTACTGAAGTTCCTTACTGCAAAATATGATCATGAAGATCTTGCTTTTCCCAAGTAATAAAGAAGACTACTAACTATTTCTCTTGTGGATTTACAATTTTAATATTTTATACTTTTGACCTGTATTGAATACTAGCACTAATTTATTGTTATGTTTACATAGCCATTTCTTCTATGTATATAAACACAGTTTTATCCATAAATTTTCCTCAATGTCAGCTTTTCTGATCTCTAGAAGAGAAGAAAAAAATAAGTAGTGTTGCTTCATTACTTAGGCGGCATTCCACCAAATAAAGAAAATTCCTTAAGTGCTCTGAAGTCAAGCTAGTACTGTTTGGGTGACACCAAAATGGTGAAGAGAAAACCTTCTAAAAAGTATTGAGTATTCGGGTGCCAGCAGGTGGCGTTGTGGTTAAAGGCGCTGGATTCCCACATGGCCTACTGTGGTTGAAGTCCTGAACCTGGCAACTTGCTTTCTCACTTTCTCTCTCTCTCACTCTGCCCCTCTCTGGTCAAATTGAAATAAACAAATGAATAAATGAAGTTAAATAAAATAATTCTTTAAAAAGTATTGCATACTAGAGAAGAAAATATCAGTGTGGAAGAGGCTGAGTGATTCGACAGTTTTACTTCACAATTTTCCTAGTTTTAAGGAACTTAGGAAAGCAATAGCTTAGGCAACTGATGAAGTCTGGAAGATTAGCAAGAATTGGTGACTAACTGGTTGGTAAGGTTGAATGAGAAAAAGAGCTTTGATTAAAAACAATTCACATACAAGTAATTTTTAGCTTGAAAACATGTATAGCTTTACCAGTTTATGAGTGTTATATATAAAAATCTTAACATTAGGGAATTGTGACATAATCCACCACTAAATCACATATAAGGGTTTTTGTGTTAGGACCTCTGACATCTCTTATTTTCTTACTCTGAGGTCTTGTTTTCAACTGCCCTTATAGATTATGGCACCCTCCAAGAATATTTTCTAACCCCATGCACAGAGATAGCCAGTCAGCCCTACAGGCTACTACACAGTATTTTCTATTACTCTATTTTCACTTATAGAACATTGAATTTCATTGCTGTTTGCTGGGTTGTTTCTTGTAAACCATAAAGCTCCCAGGAGTTCAAGGACTGTGACTCTTCAGCACCAGCCAGAATGCTGAAATGCATGATAGATACTCTGTAAATTGTTTATTGAATGAATGTTGGACAATTAACAGGAGATTGAACTACTTTAACTCCTGTAGATCATAGCTGCTTTGAAGGTTGTATACTAATATTAGCTTTAAAAAAAAATGGTAATAATCTTCCAGAATATGGTCAATAGAAGAGAGATGGAAAGTGAGAAATCAGCCCAGTGGCGTTGGCTATGCCACAATCCCTTCTCCATTATACTCCTGGAACTTTGGGTACACATGCTCACACATCTGGCATGTGTTTTCAGTCCCCCTGGGTCTGGTACTAGAACTGTTCTGTTGGCGAGGTGAGATCCAGCAGCCTTACAAACACCATGCCTCCAGCTGGGCCACATACCCTTTTAAGTACAATTGGTGTGGGAGTTTCCATTTTGTCACTTAGGCACTTTCCTCATGAAGTTATTATGAGTTCAAGAGAGACAACCAGAGATAATCTATGAAAAGGTATTGTGAAAACTAAGTGGTATGTAAAACAATGTATAGTACAGATTGTATATGAATAGATTTCCCAATCACAGAGGTGTGGGTTCTGGCCATACCACTTGCTGGCTTTGTTTTCAGATAGTTTGCTTAGATAAGGTTGTTTCCTCATGTTTCAATCTGTCTCACAGGGTTATTAAGTCAGATCCTAAATGTACAATGTACACATTTTGTAAATTTTTCTTATTACCTTTAGTGATAGCCACATCAATTTTATATTCTGATTTTCTAAAGGAGACTTAAGAATATTCCACAAATTGACTAGTGTCCTTTTTTGAGAAACAGGTTTGTGGTATGGAGAGGAATGGAGTTTTAAATGAGCATATTACAAAAAAAGAAAAAAGGGAACAAGAAAAATCTACTTCTAGCAAATATTCTGAAATAAATTTATTAATAGGAACTCTGAGAAATATCAACTCCTTTATTTTGGCAACTATAGTGACTTAATATTTTCTATCTCAAAATTTTCCAAAGCATGTGATCATTAATATGTGGAATAAATTTAAGGGAAGAGGTTCTGCTATTTCTAAATTTTTATTCCTACGGTGGGTTATAAAAATATAGTAAAATTGTATGGACTGTAGAGCAT